AGAGAGAGGGAGAGAGAGAGAATTGGAATTAAGGTTCAGGTCTGGGGCAGTGGAAAGTGGCTGTTTGTGTCACAGTGCAAAAAGGGAGGAAGTGAGAGAGGAGGAGGGAGTGCTCTAACAGCAGAGGTGGATAGACGGAAAACAGTTCGGTCTACAGTGGGATTGTCCCGCCAAGATCAGGCACTGGGGCCGCATGGAAACTTTCCCCCTCCGACTCTCAGGCAGCTGGAGGAGAAGATGTCGGTATTGAATATCCTAGGGAAGAAAAAAGAGAAACGGTAAATTGAAGATCCAGACATGAAGATGGAAAAGTTTGTCAGTTGAAATGAATAGTTTTGCATGTAACGGGACTTGCTGTTTTAAGTATTTCCCTCTGAAGCCACTTCATCCTTCCATGAAGAATGGACAATACTGATGCTCTGAATCACTTCCCCAGATAGTTGCTAAGATGAGTTTTGATATAATTCTTTATGTGCAAAACGCCAAATCGAAAAATTGCATCAACAGCAGCAGTAACAATTTATCTTATCACATAGAGCCACAGAGAAAAGTGGATGAAGAGCAGGTACAGGAACATGACCAAAGACAGGGAGCAATGAGTGAGGGAACTTTGAGTCCAGATCCAATAGTGGCCTTCTGCCGTCACGGCGAGGCTCAATACAGTAGGCTTGGGGCTACAGTGTGTTATGTGTGTTACTGTACGCACAGTCATGAATAGAGGCCAGGGGGATGTCGAGGGAGGCGATTAATCATTTTTGGCAGCAGTTGTTTATAAAACCATTCTCATCCTTTGATGACAATCTGTAGCAGATGTTTCATAGAAACTGTACATGATTGTGGGCCTCAGGGGCTTGTTGTCTATCAGGGGTCTCTGAACAGGTCACGGCTAGTCACCACTTTTCGTCAGACTGAATATCTGAACTATCGATGGATTTGCCTGACCATGAATTTTGGTACAGACATTCATGGTGCTCCAGGATGAATCCTGACGACTTTTCATCTTGCACCACGAGCTGATCGAGGTTTGCAGTTACTCAGTAAAATATCCCAACATCTACAAGATTTCTTATGTTCCCAGGATCCTATGTTCCCCAATTCTAGGGTTAGGGGGTTAGAGAACTTAAGATCCTGGAAACGTACAAACACTCTCGATGGATTGACGTAACATTTTGTACAGACATTCATGGTCCCCAGACAATACGTACTTTTCATTTAGCATCATCTAGTGAAAGTTTGTCCAGTGCTGTACTTTGTGTTTAGTGCTAATTATCAAATATTAGCATGCTAACCCACTTAACTAAGAGGGTAAACATGGTAAACGAAACCTGCTACACATCAGCATGTTAGCATTGTCATTGTGAGCATGTTGCTAATTTTAGCATTAGCTCAAAGCACCACTGTGCTTAAACCCACAGTGTGTCATTTCTGCTGCTACGGGGGTCTCTCACATCATAATAGCAAAAGACATAGTAGTTTGATTATGTCGTAATCACCATTGGCAATGAAATCTGATTTGACAGAAATCAGGTTCATGGACGGTACACGATCACATTCGATGACTTTCTTCTTTTGACGTATCAGACATATCCCGTTATAGCAACTAGAGCCAAGTAGGAAACGTAAAATTAGAGATTTATCTGGGTTTGAACACTGTTGGAAACATTTGGATGTAAGTGAATAACTCAACAAAATATATAACATAGGTCTAGTGTTTTTAGATATTTTAATGCGGAAATCTTACATATTATACCTTTAGGTAAGAAGAGGAGTCATCAGGAATTGATACAGAGCGGGGAATTCAACTTGTAATGACTAAATAGAAATGCTGCTGATGTTGAGACAGACAGACAGACTTTTATTGTGCCAAAACAGTATTTAGTTTAGTGTTTTTAGTGTTTTGCAGTGTTGAAGGAGTATTTGGTACTTGAGATATGAAGCACCTAAGTAACTGTTGTCAAATTAATTATTAAGACATTTTCAGTAACTTTGAATTTTCTCTAGCCTGAATGTAGCAGAAAGTCCACTTGACACACAAAACATAAACCATTAGCCCCTGCGCCCCACACCCAATTAAACTCTTGACCCTTTGCCATCAACACTACATGAGTGGTCAGAGGTAGTGGCTAGTTCAGGTCAGATTCCTCTGTTTTTTCATGTCCCATGTTCACACTCTCAGAGCGAGCTGGTGCATGCCACGCAGCAGTCCTCTGCCTATTAATAGCAGTGAGGGTTGGAGTCGGGGGCAATCTGGATGGCGTGTAAATTTAGACCCTCCCCCCTGGATGTTCCGTTGATGTCATAAGCCTGACCTCTGACCCAGGAGCCTGGCTGCCACAAGGCCCACGTTGAACTTGAATTTCAGGGGTCCGAATGGAAGCATGCACACACATACACATGTAAACACTTATTCATCTACAGTACATATAAAAGCACACAAATGCACTTATGAAATGCAACATCTGAAACAGTTTGAGGCAAAGAGCTGTATAAATATGTCACTAAAGATGTCGTCCTCTGTACATTCTTTGACTGTGAGAAAGCTTAGACTATCACATGACAGCAACTAGCTGGTTGTGAAGCTTCTTTGTCTTTTGTTCTAAAACTAGTTTGTATGCAGATAGAAGCAACAGAAACAGCAGAATCATCCGTGTCGTTCTATCCTGAAAGTTTAGCACTAAATCACCACAAAGTCACACACAAACACACACTGATTTCCAGAGATTTTGAAATCGACTACAGTTGGAGCAGGGTGATTAGGTAGAGTGCTCACACTGGTTCCCACAGCCTTATCCAGTGTCTCTGCCCCTGCCAGAGTTATGTGATGGATTGGGGGGGCTGACACATAAACGGGGACAGGGGCAACCGATCTTCAAGGTATGTCAGCCGACACTCTTGGGATATCTTGCACACAGCACCGTGGAAGACCTTAACCTACAAACATAACAACATTGTTCAAGCCATGATTCCTCTTGTCTTATTTTTGGGTCCGATAAAGTTGTTGTTGGATACCAATAGAGCCATGACCATGTTACAGTAAGAACTGTGTTGAAATAAATGGACAGTGACACTGAATCAAAATGAGTCAACATGATCTGTATACAGTTTAGGTTTCAGAAAGGAATGAGAAAGGATACACTTCTCTGAGAGCTGAGCGTCGTGCATTTCTTTGTATTGTACATCCACATACACGTACACTGAAGCAGCACGCAACTTTATTGTCAAACAGTATGAGTCAAACAGTAGTCCAGTTATACTATTTTGACATAACTCCAGACACAATGGATGTTGACAGTCCAAATGCCACCTTCAGCCAATCACAGCACCCTGCTACCCCTGAGGCACTCATAAACAACATTCCTGCCCTCAAATGTCTTCAGCACATGAGCCATACAGCATATTAAACTTCACACAGCCTATAATATATTTTGATATATCATAACACAGCCTGAATCCCAGATACGTGTGATGCTCCACATTTTGTTTTTCATGTGATTCTCTTAAAGCACAGGCAATTAAATGTCTAAAATGTGTCCGTAAAACTAATAATAAACCAAACACACGGTACACAAGCTAGAAAAATTTATTTTGGTCATAAAAGTTTGGGGTACTGTTTGTAAGTTAGCCCTTTGGCTAAACTAGTGCTGCCTATCAGGCCTCACTTGCTCTTGATGTTGAGATGCAGATTTTTTTTTTATTTAAGGCTAAAAACAACACCTAATTATTTGCAGATATGATCCTGAAATTGTGGTTACACTGCAGTGAATATTTATTCTAACAACTAAGTCTCCGTTCAGTTTTAGCATCTCTTTGGTAGCATTTCTTGCAGTGCTGTGATTTCATGTTTTCAGCCCGTCTTACCTGTGACAGGAGTTTTTAGAAACCACAGGCAGATCACAAAACAAGTTGCAATAAATGTTTTTTGGAACGTAATCTATATATCTAGGTTTTGGGGTTTGTGTCATTCATTTGGTCTTTTGGTCTTTTTTAATGTCTAATAACGTAATAACCCCAATACGAAACTATGGTTTGGTTAAACACCAACATTGGCTTTTGGAGCTGCAGACTTTATTGCACATTTATATGTTAGATTAGATAGTATCTCAGGCAAGATATAATGTATAGTACATTTTAATGTTTAATGGAATTAAATGTATAATGACGAATATAATACAAGGTTATGGTTATGGATACTTGGTCATGGTGAGCTACAGGAATGTTTGCTGAATGACAGATGGGTCATCTCTTTGTGCACTGAGCAAAACTGCAAACTGCCCAAAACCATTTTAACCTCTCTAAACCACACCACTTTGTCCAATTCCTAGGACAAGTGGAATAATTATTAACTGCTGAAAATGTATTATTAACCTCGAGGTCAATCAAAAAACCAATTAGATGTAGTCAATTAAACCAAACAGTACACACACACACACACACACACACACCACTGGTCTGATCGTTGTACTTCCAGATATCACTCTTTGCTCTCCATTAAAACGTTAAACGCCACAAGATCTAATCTGAATAAGGCAAGACAAACCTTGCCATGCCCAACTGACGCCCCTGGCCGTCCACCAAACCACCGGATGACAAGTCTTCACAGTCTTTACGCACGGAGAGCGCATGGAGAGTTTGCGAGCACGCGTGGGGGTCCCTCCCTCCCAGGCTGTCCGTGGCCTCCTCGCCCCGGCGGGCAGCTCCAAGACTCAGCCAAACCCTCCTGATCCCCCATTTCCCTCTCTCTACCTTTCCTCTGAAGAAACAACCCGGCGTTACGTCAGAAAGTGCAGGGCAAGCAAGACAGCGTCTTAGGAGCTATTCGTAGGCATTGCTGCCAAACCCGGCTTGGGGCTGCTCACGAGCTCACTGCAGCCAATGCAACTTACAAATCCAACTCTTTTAAAACAGCAGCAGTATGTGGTAAGTCAATTATTCATTCATACTGTTTTATTTCCCCGCTGGGTTTTTTTCTCACAGCTTTCTTCACATGACAGGTCTCTGTTGCTGGCACAATTGCGCAAAAAAAAAAACCCAACAGTGTAAACGGTGTAAAGATAAAGAGTAGGCTGGTTTACCCTGTAGCCTCACTGAAAACACCATGACATGATGAAGCAACAGAGATTTTTGACGTTCAAAGATTTTTGCAGCATTTTTTGTGTTTGATTCTTTGCTGATCTCAAAAAACAACATGCCCCACGCTCGAAATAGGAACCCTAGCCCCATCCCAGAGGTAACATGGGACACGGGATTGAAGGAGATGAACGAGACCTGGAAAGGAGCTATAGCCTGTCTCGGGGTGGCTGTCTTCTTTGTCATGACAATCGGGATCATTTACTGGCAAGTGGTGGACCAGCCCAACAAGAACTGGATCCTCAGGGGGACATTTAGCGGGCTGATCTGGGAGAGAAGAACCCACTCGCTGGTCATACAGACCCTGGCGGAGGACAAGACCTATGTGGAGATAGACGTCGGGAACGTGGGGAACCCCGACATCGAGGTTCCCTTCGTGAGGAACCTGTGCTGGTTGAATAAAACGGAGTTCTGCTATACGTGGGACTCGGTGGCCGAGGTGAAGATCTCGCTGGAGGTGAACGAGGAGACGGAGACGGAGTGCTACAGTATGACTTGGGCGCCGGTGCACTGTCATGTGGAGTTGAAGGTAAGGATTCTCTCAGTGTGCATTCAAGAGCCAATCCGCACCACACTAAACGCAGTCAGGATTCACTGAAATGCCTTTTTTTTTGTACACAAAATGTGATGCGCAAAGAGTAGTTTTGCACTTGGAACTGCCTTAATTAGCAGTTTATGTTAATTGACATGTGATTGTGCATGGCTGTGATATTGGTGCACAGTGTAAATGTGTATTTGACAAGGAGGCCCCGTTCACTGACATTTTATCAAGTGTTTGTTTCATACCTAGATGATTTCAACAGCTGTCACATGGGACTAAGTTAAAGGGGGACTATCATTTTTAAATAGAGATTAAAACAGCAAAGCATTTTATGCAGCAAGCGTTGTGTGTAATTCAATAAATCATTTAACTCCAATGATTCAGATGGAAATGCTGCACTTTATTTTTAATTGAAATGATTTCATTTTCTTGGATTTTTTTTTTAATGTCATTTCAGAAACTATGAGATCCTGTTGAATTATATCAACAAAACACCGTGATGACGCTTGATGGACTAATTTAATTTGACATGATGCTATAGACACACACAAAAAAAAGATTTGCGTGATTCCCTTGGTGTAACTGCACTGAGCGGAAAACAATTCGTGTTAAATCTGCTTCGTCACAGTTGCTTTTTTACATGCACAGTACTTACTGTACTGTACCCCCCCCAGCTTAATTATCAAAGGCATTTAACTATTGAGATGTTTGGGGAGGTTAATCTGTCCCCACTGGAACATTCCTCGGCATAACTCCCTGTCATGTGGCGCGACCGCTCACAGGAAATCTTTCCAAACTTAAGTCGTTTTTATTTTTCTGCTTTCCAAAATCCTGCCCGGTGCCTCTCAGGTGACCACTTGGCACCTGTTTTGAAACTCATTGACAGAGCCTGGATTTGCTGACATGAAATAAACGAGCTCCCGGCTTGCGCATTTGACCCCCACGCGTAAAGACGCCTTGAGGAAGGACGAGTTTTCTCTCTGAGAAAACACTCTGTCATTCAATCCCTCCTGCATGCGATGCTTTCTGAGACAGTCTCATGTACCGGCCATCAGATACCGCTCTGTATTTCTGCACCGAAGTAACAGCAATGTGCACTGATGTAAAACATTAGATTCATCCGTACTCTAAGACATCGAGTACATAATGTGATAGCGTTGGACACATTTAAATCCACCTTGTACCAGCTCATAAAATAAAATTACATTCATCAGTTACTTTTAAGTCTGTACAAAGTATTTAAATGCTCTTATAAACTTTTTCAAATATTCACTAAATGGCAGTGGTGGTTTAGATGTGTGTTTTGAGGGTGTGAATGTAAAAAACCAAAACAAATGAAACTTTTAAAAATTTTACAGTCTACAGTCTTTCAGTCTCAACCCTACCACTCTGTTATATATCTTGTGTGCATATTTCCTTTTTCCACTCAGCATCAATTTCATATATTATATATATTTTACATAGTTCCTCATCAACCTTTTTATTTTCTTATGTGTCTTTCTCTCTGACACTCTTTTGGTTTTCTCTGTGTATGTGCTTTTCAGGACTGCTTCTCCATGACCAACGTGTCCTGGTACGGCGGCGCCAGTGTCCGAGGTCAGACGTGGCCGATCAATGATCAGAACGCCACCACACAGCCCTTCACTGTGAGTGATCTAAAGGACAACCCCTTTGGCTTCGGCTCTGCCCTGGAACGCTACTTCCTGGGTTCATCAGGTAAGAGGTCATTGTTGGAATAAATCATTTAGATCAGTCAATGGAGACTGCATCATTAGAAAAGTGGAGTCATAGTTCTTCACACCTGTTTACAGTAAGAAAGACCTTTTCGAGTCTTTAAAAGGAAATAGGTTCAGCTGTTTGGTCCACGCTTGCCATTGGCGCAGGGTCAGCACAAGGGCTCTGGAAATCTGACCCCCCCACATCAGTGGGTATACAATGTGTGGCGTGAATCCCAGGACATGAGGGAAGCCCTGTGGATGTTGTTGTGTTTTCTTACTACCCCCCCTCATGTTTGTTTGTGTTTGAGCTGAGAAAAATGGTCCGACGGCCTCCAGAACCAACATCCCCAAAACACACACAGCTGACTGGATAGGACGGCTGCCCCACAAATAGAGTGTAACACAATACTGTCTGCGGCATCTGAGTTTATTAATTTAGAGATTAAACTACAAAGGGAAGTAAACCACCTTTAGCATCTTAAATTAACTCTTAGGGATACTGAGGTAATTGCCTTTTGTTTCTATTAAAGGGGCAGGTTGGATGAGGGCCCTGCTGACTCTTATAACTCATCAGGTTATTTTGGGGGTGCTAGATTTTATCCTGGGGGCAAAGGGGGGAGGCAGGGACCACTGGCGGATGTGAATGGTTAATGTAGCTGATGAGGAACGTGTGGTGCGTGTGTGTGTGTACATGTGTGTTCGTGTGGTAGTGGGTATAGCATTAACCTCAGGGACTTTGCTCTCAAGTTCTCTTTAGAGTTGTGGTTTGCTTACTGAGCTGCTGCTCAAACTAACCAACCTTGATTCTTGAAAGATTTTAAATAAATATGATGTTGTTTTATCAGACTGGCAACATCACAGTAAAAGTCCCATTTTACATACATGCACATCACAACATGTGCTTTTTTGGGCATATATTTAATATTATTGACCGTTAGTGTGTTAGGGAATCCTGTGCATGTGTGAGTCTTTGTGCATGTATGTGTGTACTCAATAGCTACACAATTAAAGTGCCAAACAGCGTCCAGATCAGAGCGAAGGGTGTGACATCAGCCATTGAGTAGATACACACACTCATCTGTTGTGACGTCATTGATTGTTAACCATAGTCTCACACATATTCATTCACCTACTGACAGAAACAGATGCACGCAACACATATACTCATACACATTTTGGGATATTATGTAACACAGTGGCAGTAACACAGTCACATGACTTAAATCCCTTTTCCACCTTATGAGAGGACGGCGGGTAATTATCAGGACCCCGTAACCCCATGTTTCTCTGTGCAAAGCTGTGCAGAGAAAGAAACACACAGATGAGATGAGATCCCAATGAGAACAACTGTTTGAACGTTGCCAAGCAACCACTCACAGACACATACTGTACATAGCCCCAAACATAGCAAACTGATGCTAAGCAATGACAACGATGCTGATTGGAGCATTAAAGGTATATTTAATGTGATATCTTGCTTTAAAGTTCAAGGATGTATTTGTCTAGCTGTTAAGGTTTTACATAATGCGCACATTTGGCTAAGAGAGAATTAGAAGACATATTGAAATTTGTACTTGGCTAGTTTCCTATCATCAGTGGAAATTATCACTGATAAATGATTTTGGATCGGGTTGGACAGTGCGAATGTGCATTGGCTTTCATTCTTCCCTTATACATGCTGCTCATGATTCAAAAATGTAAGAGAACAGTGTAGAGAACAAGTCATGCTTCAGATTTGGCTGATGTGTCAAGAATATGTCATGTTTTGGAACAATAAATATCCAAAGTTGTGAAATGTTCTGACTCAGGGTGCACTACGTAACAATCAGAGGGAATCCAATGATACAGTGCTGTATTGGTGTCACATTAAGACTGACAGACAACTGCACATGGCAAAAACATACTCAAACAGGTTTTATAAACTGTATTTTGCTTGTCTGTTTCATTTCCATTATTATTTGTTTTAACTTGTAGACAAATCTGGATATAAAAAAAATACAGTTTGAATTTATGGCAGTAATGCCAGTAAGGCAGAGTAATAACTATTCTCTGATTATTACTGGCATCAGTTTACAGTATGGGTACGTTGGTTGATCCCTTCATTTGAGGAATAGGTATATCTTCTATTCTTTGTTCAATAAATCCTGTAAGCAGCACCAAGCTCCTGCAAAATTGCTCCTGCGAGAATCTGTGTTCCTGTGCACATCAGACAGGTTGGTTATGCTTCGTTGTTATGCAAATGTTCTCAATTTATGGAGTCATCATTTAGAGCGTTCCAGGCAGTGAGAGCTTGGAGAAGCACTGGACACAGACTTCAATGAAAAGTTAAAACACAATTAAACTTATCTCACCAAACAGCCTCAGGACAACCATTATTTCTCCTTACCTTCATCCAAAAACAGCAGAATATCAGACTGCAACAGCTGCATTTGCCATATTTTTCTTTCCAACAGCTCGGACAAAAGTAGTACCTGAAACATCAGATTTTAAATTGCAATAGATGGCTGCGGCTATGCTGAACAGCATGATGTGATAGAGTCATAACTTTGTTATTGTTGTGGTTAATAGTGGTGGGACAGGAAACAATTATAGCAGCTTTTATGGAGAAAAAAATCCACAGTTATGTGTGGATAGTAAACAGGATCATTATGGGAAACTGTGAGTTTATGCAACCGTGTGAAGGCTTAATCAGATTATTGATTTGTTCCTAGTTTTGGCAGCAAAACGTTATTATTTTTGCATGTAAACCGACCAAATCTAAGTGAATGCAGAGCTAAAAAATCACTTCCAGCACGTAAAATAAAGACAACATACAAAATACATATTTTTTTAATAGAGGCTCTATGTAATTTATAACCATATTTTGTGTTAACTGTTGTGTTTCCAAGTAAAATTGCACAGGAAATACAGCGACTGAGCTACAAAAAGGAAACTTATTCACTTATATTTACTGTATATTTGTACTTGACCTCTCAGTAATATGAGTTTCCTCTCAGTACATCATGGTTGAAAAAGCTCTGTTCTTAACAAGAGGAGCTGGGTTGACCACATTTGATACTGGTCCCTGACAAACCCTAGTTTAATTTATGGTTATGATTTAAACCTAATTATAAATAAGCTGCAGTCACAAAAATAGTAAAATTGTGTACTAAAAGCACACATACCACTTGACCTTGCTTTGATCCAAAAATGTAGAGTGAAACTCCGACTGAAGCTTTACTCTCATGAGTTATGGGTTCATATGGGAAAGCTGGCATGCTTCTTGTCAGTTTCAGTCAGGTGAAAAAGGAAGTGCAGCATGTTTGTTTTCTTCAAAACAGATTCATGAAAGGCAGGATTCCAGTGGTAATAAAAATGTTTAAAAAAAGGTCTAGAGCTGCAACAATTAGTCAATTAATCATTTTGTGGTCAACTACTAAATTACGTGCAACATTTTATGGACCAAACAACTAATCGATTGATCGAGAAAATGATCAACATATTAATCTGTAATGAAACTAATCATTAGTTGCAGCCCATAAAGAGCCACCGCATGTCCTGACCGTCAGAACTGTGTAGTTGTGGAGCATGGCCACCGGTTTGGTTCCAGCTGGCGACCTTTGCTGCATGTCAAACTCTCCTATTTTTTGTCTGCCTCTCCTATCTAATAAAGTTAAACCCTTCTCCCCCCCAAAAAACTATGCCACTTTTGTCATGAATCTTCTCTCTGGAAATCAAACATACTGCAGTGTTAGTGCAGTATGAAGTTTAGTAATATCAGGCTTCGCAGGCTGAACATTAGAGATATTTCTGTTGTACATGTGAGCTGTTGTGTGTGCATTGGACCTGTCTTCACTGACTCTAGTTAGTCATGGGAGCACATTATAAATGTGGTAGGCAATATGGAGCTGTGACTGACGTTACTAACTTAAGAAGACTCTTGGGGACGGTTAAAGAGCACGGCAGACAGACGGAAACGCAGAGCAACAGGAGCGACAGAGGGACAGAATGACTGTACAGTTACAGTTGATATTAAACAGAATCAAGAAGAGAGAACAAAGAGTAGCAAAGTAAATAAGCGGCAGAAAAGTACAGCAGAGAGACAGGAGAGAAGATATATGCAACTGTGCAGTAGAGTGACATTTGAGAGTATTGCCAACTGGAGGGACTTGTCATAGCCCCACCTGTCTTTATCCATACAAAAACAACTGGGCTACTAAGGACAGATTAGATATCGCTGAAGCCACATCCTGCATTAAAAACATAAGAAGGAACTCTCAGGGAGAAGTTGTCCCAAAGCTTTAGGGGCTTATTCTTACATTTACTCTACTCTTTACTATTTACAGACACAATATGCAATTTATCAGTTTAAAGTTAAGTTAAAAAAACTGTGTTTATTAGTGTACTATATAATGAGTTGTTTACAGTATAAAAATAAACTGTAGTTCTGGCTGCTTTAAAACTATTTCATAGTAGCTAAAAAAAAAAACCTGTGCCGTAGCTTGCATGAATATTTTTGTAACACAGCTCCTAGCTTTTGAATGCTAAAGCAGGTTTATCTGCAGAAGCAAAAGTGCCGTTTTACATTTTAAAAAAAATCCTAAAATAATGATCAAGAATTTATAGCTAATGCAACATTTTAATCAAACCTTTGTCATTACTATGTGGGAACATTATAATAATAACAAATTGTCAATAAGAGGAATCAGAACATTGAGACACATGAGATTGTTTTTCAATGCAGAGATCAAAATGAACTAAATTGTTAAAATATATATCTGAAATCAGCAATTTGTAAGTAAAAACAAGAAATAAAAAATATAGAATTTATCTATATCCATGTAATTTATCCACACACACAGATTGTATTAATGCATATATTAGATTGTTTTAGTAGACTGTATTAGCACACTATAAGCAGTATATTTTCATTTTTTACCCTCAATTATAAATTTATATTTGAGGGTAACAAAAATAAGAGGGAGAAAAAAATTATTTTAATAACGGCACTATTCATCCTCAGAGGGCCTCAATCTTTCAAAGTCCATGTATGCTTACATTAGAAAGATAACTTGGCTCTCATCAAAGTTTCCCCAACTCATCATTGTAAATAAGGGCTCGGAGAGACCCTATTTGTTTTCACAGCGGGCTGTTGTAATAAGTGAGAGTGTGATAGCACTAACGTTGACATCCCCTAGCTCTCTTACACTCAGTCTGGATCCAATAAAAGTCATTTATCTATTGTCTCTTCATCAACATCTACTTTTTTCCATGCTTGCCTTTATAAAGTAAGCATCAGAGATTAGAATTAGAAACTCTTTATGGTATGAGACTCCCTCCTATGCACATGCACACATATATATGAATGCAAATGTAAATACGCTTTAACTCTTTCTCTCTCTTTTTGTCTCTCATTTCCCCATTGTTCATTTTAGTATAATTTATTCTCCCATCCCTTTTTCTTTATTTCTATCTCTGACTCAATCTTTCCATGTGGGATTCAAAGAAATGATACTTTACTGCTCCTGCTCATTTGTTGTTTGGTCTCTCGGAGGGAAACGGCCAAGCACAACAGACAGACGGGGATAAAAGTTACGTAACTATTATGGGTTTTGATTTTTTCTTTCAGATAATGATTCTTAATCTGCTTTATTTGAAACAAAAGAACCTTATAATGAGAAGGATGAGGACAAGAAGTAAAAATGTATTTCCATTATGGTGCTTAATGGTTAGCTCAGGAAGCAAGATAACCACAGACCAAATAATAGTCGAAATTTGATTGTTGCTCAACAATCTGAGTCCAAAGCATCCACAGAAAAGAAGTTTTAAAAATGCCATGAACTTGAGTTGTTACTTACGTTTTGGGGGTAAGGTTCACATATGTGGTGATTTAATTGTCAAAAATTCCAACATTTTCAAATCTAGGCCATTTAAAAGCACAAAGTTAAGGGATGCCAACACTTTCTCCTAACATCTAATTGAGAAGAAGCTTAAAGGAGCTTAAAGTGTGTCGGATTGTGTAGTATTTATTGGCATCTAGCAGTGAAGTTGCAGATAGCGTCACACTGGTTGCGTCTGTATTTGATGACCTGGGAATGAGAATGGGATGTGAAGGGTGTAGGAGAAACTATGGAAAGTCCCTATTTACGGCCAGTTTTTGGTTTATCTATTCTGGCCTACTGTAGAAACATGGCGGTTCAACATGGCGGACCCCATGGGAGGCAACCCACAGCTTTTGTAGATAAAATCTGTTCAGCAAAACACAACAATTCCAATATTCAGGTTTAGTTTAAAATAGTTTCTGGTTGAGTATTTCTTTAGCATTTTCTTTTTTCTTTATTCCAACCCAAGACCACTGAGTCTTACATTCACAGAGAAATAAATGTAGAAGGAAAAACAAGCTGCCCCAAAATACACCGGTATTACTCAGTAGGTCACCAGGAGGTCCCTGGACAGCTGCCCTGAAACCTCGACTCTCCCGGACAAGTAAGAGGTAGAACACTTTAACAATGACTTGAGCTACAACTAACTGAAGCTTTCTTAGAAGTAAGCTGTCATCTCTTGTATGAGTGGGCCACTGTATGAAAATCATTCCTCAACATTTTCAACAGTCCATCTCTTAAACCTTCCATCAAGACAGTAGAGAGACTTTTCAATGGACGATTGATACAACAGCTGTATGTATGTATCAGCTCGTTTACAACCTTCTGCATAAACACAATACGTCTGTGGTTGCACTGGTCAGTTCTGTTTCCTTTCTTAAATACTGAACCACCTTTTACAAATGAGCCAGAAATCAACCAAAATGTAACACTTAAGTTGTCTGCAAACTTTAGTATATAACTACTTTAACAGTATGCTAACTTCACCAGCGGAGACTGGAATAAAAAGATAAGAATTAAGGAACAGTGAGTAATTTTATATTACTTCAAAGTATTTGAAAGTGGGATCTTCTTGTCTGATCAGGACACATTTTTACTTGTGATATTTGTACAGAACAAGGCGTCTAACACTTGAAACAATAAAACTGATTGATGGTAGAAATAGAGCACAGAAAGTCTCTTTAGTGTTTCATTATTTTTTTCAATAAGTGGAATTGGAAATTTACTACCATGGCAGGATCCCAGTTTTGTGGCCATCAATTTCTTGAGGTTGGGCACAGAAACTAAGTTTCCATTGTTAGGGAAATGCATGCCTGAATACACACACACTCGCATGCACACACGCACACACATACTTAGTGTTTGAATGCATCTTTTATAACCCCAGTCAGGTCTGTAAGTGTGCACAGGTGTCATAAATAACAGTATAAATATGACAGGTAAAAGAGTGCAGCCCATCTGGTCTGCAGCAGCAGGGTGTCAGCCGGCAGTGTTTTCCACCCCTAGACGCCAAATTAAAACTTTCTTGACCCATCTGAAGGTGCACAGGGTCACCTCCACTACCACCTTCAAACGTTCAGCTCAGACCGAGCAAGGAAGGAAGTGCAGAAACTTGATGGGTCCTATAAGTCCTGCTCTGTTTTTCTTGGAAGTCTACAGTTTCCCATTAAAGAAAGTGTGTGTGAATGTGTGTGAGAATGCACATATGTGTGTGAAGAAGTAATCCAAGGTTGCTTGATTTGTGCGTTCACTCAACAGCTGTAAAACGGAGACGTGTGTGCCAAATCATTCAGATCTGCCCAATAAACTTCATTCATTTTTACCTTTGCCTATATGCTGCTTTGAAGGTGAGCAGATAGGGTCAGTCAGGCATATAATTTAGCTTTTAAGAGCTAATGGAAAATATTTCGGGGGATGCTTGAAGTGTTTCAGGAATTGTTCTAAAAATAGGGTCCCCCCTTAACTCCCGGGCACCCCACCTTGGCTGTAACTCAAGGCTTCAAACCTGCTTCACCTTCTTTAAATAACACTTATTGATTCCTGTCCCGTCTGGTATATGCATCTAGAGATACTATTCAGTCAAAGATGAGTGTCAGTGTCGCACAGAGTGCTGCACTTTCAGTATGTAACCAGGGTGATTTTCAATCAGGAGTTCCCCCATACTAAAAATGCAACCCACTACATGCAAAGTGCTTTAGGTAGTACAAACTTATAAGACAGGATTTAATATCTGCATGTTTAGTCAAAGATGGAACAAAAGGTACTGCTGCTTTTGACCAGATTGTCCCATTTCCTTGAGGCTCTGCAGTGTCAATGCCCATACAAATTAAATATGACTCAAGAAGTCATGCTTGCAAACTTAAACTCCACTTTCCACCCTGTGTGCACTTTGGTAAAACACACTGTTTGCTGCCTGCTGTATCTGCACACCATTCTACAAGGCTGCTCGGTGTCTGGTGTACCCTGGTCGCCTCTATTTCCACTGCCTGCATTCCACTTCCATCCTTCCATAAAGCTGTAACATTTTCTCCTCTGCTCACTTTCTACTCCACTGTAGATGTACATTATTGACGTGCACAGTTTTGTCGCACCTTTGCTTTATTAAAAAAAAATTAAAAATTGTAGCCATTTTATCCCTTAAGGTTTAAACACGTAACAGTGTTTCCTAGCAAAAATCTACATTTATCTGCCATTATGAATCTGTAACAAACAGTTAAGTGGTGACCTAATACCTTGTGAGAGGCAGCTGAGGAGTTATCAGTATCTCTTTGACATTATCCATTGCAAACACGTGAGAATTACCCTGAGGTTGAAGGCTCTTCGCTCCGCTTTATGCAGCACTTGAATACTGATCTCTGAAACTATTAATCTGATTATAAACCGGTACATGAGTATCCTGCCTGTTCCTGGTCCCTGCCTGCATGAGAACAGTAAGCCCATTGAAACTAGAGAGGGTGGCTGAAGCGAGACAAGCTCTCAGCCCGGGTTCTCAGGCTGTCTGCTGGCTTTGGAAAGAGGTCTTGCACTCTAATCTGTTCTCTGATCAGCTCCAAATCCCCAAATCCCAGTTTTTGCTAATATGAACAGGTTGTGCAAAAAACTGGTAGCAATGGTGCACTAGGGTCAGAATCTGTGGTTGGAGGCTCTGATCGATACTGGCTGGGTTATGCTGCCCTGAGATGGAACGGACCCACATTAGAGGAAGGTAGTTAAAGCTGAGAGGGAGAAGGTGGGAGTCAGGATGGGTGAGAAGTGGTGAGGATACAGAGTAGGAGTAACCTGAGAGGGACAAGGCATTCCTTGCAGGGCAGCTACATCTGCGGACACAATTATCTGCTTCACATAATCTTATAATTTCACACGGCCTCTGAAAGGCTGTATATACATACAGTAGTAGTATAGTAGTAAAACAAGGTCCCTTCACTAGTGATTCGTTGAAGTTGACTCATTTAATGGTTTTGTCGCATAAGTGATGTGTGGATGTACTTAATAATAGCTAATAGTTTTGCTTTTAATGTTCGATACACCTAACCCTTCTGTTATTGGTGTGCAGTGTAACTTACCTACTCACAAGTTGCCAGCAGTCCCAGGGTAAACTCATCCAACCACATACTGCTATATCTCATTCTAGGGAGTGTTTTTCTCACATCTGAGTGGAGCAATATCAGCTGACACAGCCCACACTCTACCTCCCACAACACTCTCTCCGTCACCTTATCCTGGTCTCAGTAACACTCGCGCACTATGTCATATAAGAGGAATCTGCAACGGTCTGTCTCACCTTATATCCGTTTGAAGTGAAACATTATATTATCTGTTTATCCGATTCTCTGAAGCGACAGTTGTGAATATCTGACATGATGTAATAAACTAATATCTTGTACCCTCTCCCGTCTGCTTCCTACCATGCAGGTGTTGCAGTACTTGTATCTCCTGATATTCCCCTGCAGCTGGGGGTGGACAGCAGACAGCAATTCTGCCTGCAGTCACTGCCCAGTATGGAGCGTCTCCCTTTACAGTACACTGTTTGTGTGGCCCACAACGTGAAAGCTGTTCACCAGGAAGCAGTGCAGCAACTCTCCCAGCACAGCAGGGAGCTGCCCAACATGAAAGCGCTGTGGTTAGTTCAGTTCAGATTCAGATTAGCAGAGATTAGGATTTCCTTGCCTCATTTTCTCGTCAGAAGGGGAATTCTGGGGTTGTCATAATAGCAATAAGACAAACAGTGGTGCATCTGTGGGTCTAGTGAGCACTGACTGAAACTTTGTGGGTATGTAGGGAGTCATAAACTAAAATCAATCCAGGTTCCTCAGAGCAGCAGGTTTTGTATGATCCCTCTGTGTCACTTATAGGCTGCCGTTCTGGAAGCTGCTCGCCAACGTGGACTCAGGGCCAAAGGTGGAGAGGGAGCTGAGGACCTTCTCTAATCGTCTGAGGAGACACCAGCTGGGGGAGGGAGTCATCAGCCTCAATGAACATTCCACCACCCTCCTCTCTGATATGGTACGTGCTTGTCACCGCCCGCTGTACTGCCCACTGTACTATCTCCACCACCAGCCTCAAAATCTTTAGAAGAATTTTTCAAAGGCAGACCCGCTCTGTAGGCACAAGAAAATCAAAGTTAAACATCAAAGAGGATCATAGTTTTATATTGTATTGAAGATGGCAGTCGGCTAATAACTTGAAGCTCAAAGTTCATCCTGATACATGAAAAAAATAAAGTTAGTGCTAGAATCCCATATTTTTCTTCCTGTAAAACAGTGCAACTTTAACAGCATCTACTGAATCAAAGGGCAAAAAAACTGAAAAGGCCATCCAAAAACAACACAAATTTTTCGAACAAATAACAAAACCTCCTTCTTTAGGTCTTAATCTATAATTTGACAAAATATTTTAATTCTGCATTCAGATTTCTTAATTATCTTGCACTTTGAAGAACAGTGTTTCCTTGGCTCATTTAAGTTTACAAATTTCCTCAAAGTTTCCCATAAAATTTATCTGCAAAGGTATCAGTGTTTAACATTCCATTGTAGCCATTATAACCTCATTAGTAACCTTCTCAGGAGCATTCACTACAATATATACAGTACAGCAGCCTACTATGCACATCTCTTTTGGTAAAAGTGATTCATCTTCTCTTCATTCAGCCAATTCCTGTGCCATGTAGCTTTTAACTCACATAATCCTTCTTTTCAGCCATCTGGGCTTTGGAGCTGGTGAGGGTTCATTGGTCAGAGGCTCAAAACTGGTCAGGGATAGAGATGAAAGAGTTTTCTTAAGTGGATCTCCAGAGTGCTGGAGAGAGGCGGGGAGTGAAGGAGGGAGGACAGGTTCAATGAAATGTCACAACGTAGAAAAAAGACAGTTTGGTGCTTTGCCTTCATGTTGAAAAATTAGTTTCCCAGGGCATAGACCACACTACCTGCAGGTAGGCAGCTTGTAAGTGTGATAAATCAGGGTCACCTAACATATTTCAGGCCTTCTAAACTTGTGATTCGGGCCATATCTGATGCATTTTAATACAAAAGGCCAGGTGAAATTCTTCGGTTCTTTGCACACTGGTGTTTATTATTTCACATTTATCCAGTTACTTTCTTTGAATGTTATTAGGAACTGCTTGGAAACAAGACCACCAGGACCACAGTCAAGTGGATCTAAGTCAATACCTGGTGATATTCCATTACAAAACAAATATAGCTAAGAGAAGACAAACAGAGATCTCAGGTTCCTCTGAGTGGTGTAACTGTGGGATGGCGAAGAATTGAGTGTGTTGAGATTAGAAGGGATTTCAGCCAAGACTAACTTGACACCATCTTGATGCTGTGATCTGACCCAGACCCTACGACAGAAGAGTTTCACATAATCTGTCCATCATAGAAGTTCAGCTCAGGCATCTTGTACTATGTTGTACAGAGGGCACACAATTCTTACATTATATGCTTCCATTATCAGTTCAGAAGGTGTGAAAGGACAAAAAAAATATGAAAATCAATTGATGAATGCTATTTGGTGAACAATGATTTCCTTTACCCACAATCTCAAGTTTTCAAATCAAAGAGTTATCAAAGATATTAAACACCAGTTTTTTTTTTGGCACCACATTGCCCAGTTCCCCTCCATAACTGACATAAAGAATCAGTCAAGCATACAGTGCTGCATGGAAACTTATGGAGCTTGAAGTTGTCTGTGAAGTGTAAGGCTCTACATAAGTGTGACTGGCAACAATGATCCTCTGTAAAAGCTAGGCCTCTCTTTCACTACAGTTTTACAAGTATTCATAAATGATCAGTCACACTATGACCTTTATTTTCCAGTTTCCGTATTAGTTTGTAATGACTTGCTGGCACTGGAAAATTTGGGTTAATAATAAGTTTGCCATGTTTCTAAAGCTACTCCTGAGACACTAAATAAAGCAGCTTTTCAAAAACCTTGTTTAACAAAGACTATAAGCTAGCGAGTGTTTTGGCCTTCTTTGTGTCATTTTTTAAGTATTTTTGTATTATTTTTTATCAAATTCAGAAACAAAGGCAGAAAACAACAAGATCAGAGGAAACAAAATGCTCTAAGAAATTACATAACATGTGCCTATCTACCCTTTCTTCCCACGACAGGTTCACCTCCTGGGGTTAATCTTTGTATACCTAAAAAGTTATGTAATCTGAAGTCTCAGTTTGACTTCACCTCTTAAATGCCAAAGGATTATAATATATGTTAAATGGATCTGACAGAGGTCATATTGTCAAAGCTACTAGCTTGCAATACAATGCACCCAGATGGAGAGATCAACGCGTTAAACATAAAGCCACAGTATATCACGCTATGTGTCTTACCATTTTGGGAACATTTGAATTGTTCCATTAGTGAATCATGTTGTTAAATGTAAATTAATGAAATGCAATGTTGGCAGTTCATTGATGCTGGTATTAGGCTGCCTTACTAATGCTTAATACTAAGTGTTTACTGTTCATGCAGTTAGCATATCATATCTCTCTGTCTCTCTACAGGACCATGACTACCTCAACAGCAGGAAAAGGGGGATGTCCAAGAGACTGACCAGGGACCTCCCACTTGTCAAGCTTCTTAACATTTCCATCACCCTTTCCCCTTTCCTGGGCGTGGACACCACGCAGTTCCACACCTCCCTCATGGACGGCACTGAGGCCTACTGGCTCAGTCTCCCCTCAGCCCCCCAGGGACAACTGGTGAGACCATGAATGGAGCACGCTCATCATCCTGTAAAGCACTTAGCTGTGTTCACAGCCTTCTGCATATTAACTTTTACCCAAGGTTTCTTTGCTTTTGTTTATTATTTTAATTGTTGTTGTGGTGAAGAGTTGCTTTGCCACAAAATCTACATTGTGATTGCTCCATTTTCCAAAAATCATATTGAACTTTCCTCAATTTATAAACTCATGTGACACTGTGGAGTGTGAAAGTGGACACTTTCCATCTGCCTCACACATTGAACATGACCTAATCCAGAAAATCCATCAGTGCAATGGCAAAGGCACTGTGGTTCATTATTAATTATCAAAATAGAAAATGACAGTAGTGTCAAATAAACTTTGTCCTTCAGATCCCTGTGATGAGTCAGTGGCGAGGAAAGTTCTGTGTAAAGCTGAACATCACCAACCCAGGAGCGGTGAGCTGGTTCCTGGACAGAGTGGGATCCCTGCAGGCCCATTTGGGGATGGAGTACATCATGCTGGAGGGGGGTGAAGGGAATCTGTTTGAGGAGCAAGCCCTGCAGCCACCACAGGCTCTCGGTGGGGACAAGTACATCAGTCTGCTGGCCGACTTGGCCACAAAGATAGGAGACTCCACCATTGTGACAGCAGGGACACGGTAACACCCTCAAGCATTTTATCTTGTTGTATTCTCTATCTGCCATAATTTTTACCCAATACCAGCTGCCATTGTTTGTAGAGTGTGATATTTTTCATTTTGAAATTGATCCTTCTATCCATTCGTCATTTTAAAGTGTTATTATGATGCTATTTGTGACTCAGGTCCAGCCATAAGCCTCTGTTTGTGAGGATGACCCCCCTGCAGTCCAACTGGAGCCCAATGGGCCTAAAGGGCATCATTCCCTCCCTGCTGCACCACACTCTGCTGGGATACAACTTCCTCATTCCTGATGCAGTAGGTAATACCACAGCCTATGGGTCAATTTCCTCACCTCTGATACTGCGTTACAGTGCTTGATATTTTGCCCTTACATGACAAAAGAAAGAGCATTATTCTTCGCTGTTTTACAGACAAAGAAAACATCTGATCTTCTTGTTTTTGGCAAAATAAAAATCCTGTAATATTCCAAATTCCTGTGATGGCAGATCACAGCCAGTCAAACAGCTGATGTCTGCAAGAAAACTATTTACTTTGAAGTGGAGAAAACAGAGAGCTGTCAGTACTACAGATAGATACCTGATATTATTGCACTCAGATTCTCGTGAAACGTGGTCAGGCCATTTTATGGAGAATTGTCAGTCTTCAATCATCTCGAGGCGGGGACAGACATTTGGATTATGAATGTGATTTGGGCATGACAACTGATCGGACCAAGTTGGACCTGGTCTGTTCCAGTCAGCTGATGTTGACATTTGGAAGATAAAATCATATAGTGTGTGATATTTAAAAAATAAAATCTTCAATCTTCAATCTCAACTCTAAGTCTTCAGATCGCTGCCAGTTGTTGACATAAGGACAAAGTTCATTCACCTCCAGTTCCCTGCAGGCTATATGGTTTCCATTGCCCACACCTCTCACCCAACTGTCATTTTTGGCCTTCTTAGTGCAAATTGCACTGCAAATAGACAGTACAAGATACTGTTTACCACCCATGTTTGTTTTTGTACACATTTGTTGTGTGTATTTACTCAGTGGTAAGATTTATGCTCCTTCCGGACTGTCAAAGACAAAAAAGAAAATATTAGCAAGTTGGTGTAAACAGTCTTTATGTATGTAGTTTGTCTGGTCGTGGCATAGTAGTCTATAGTCTGACTAGTCTTCAGGTTTATCCCAAGATTTACTGCAGTAGAAAGAAAATGGGACTTACTTCTTTCAAATCATCCAGCTTACATGTTGTCCTCCTGTATATTTTTAAATCTACTCACTTCAAAAGCCAGAAGAAGAATACAATACAAATTCTCGACAGTTCAATTAAAGCTTCTTCATTTTCTTCGCCCCCGCCCATCTCTCTCTCTCCCTACAGGTGGCTCTCTATCTGGAGACCTGGTCACAGATGAGGAGTTGTTCATCCGTTGGCTGGAGATCACAGCCTTTCTTCCTGTTATCAGCTTCCACACACCACCCTGGGTCTGCGGAGAGGACCGGGTACACGACCAGAATTTGATATTCAAACATCACATTACAAAGCAGTCTAACCCAGAAAATGGCCCCTTTTTAATAGCCCACACTGCAGCCTGAGGTCTGGTAGGCTGAAGTCTGTGTCATTTAATCTGTGTGATCCATTTATTAGATGTAATTATAATAGCAACAACATTCTTTTCCAGACTTGATAACAAGATTTTACTTGTGGAGATTAACAGTGGAGAGATCAAGCAGAGTGATGAGTTAATGCTGCCAATTAGATGTTCTAAAGAGAGTCCGTACTTCTTGCAAAGTGATTAAGATGAATGAAAAGAGCAGAGAAAGGGGGAGTGTATTGACCCAACAGCCTCTCCTCAGTATTTAGGGGTCAGTGCAGAGGAGTTCCCACCGGTGGGTCTGCAGAGACCCGGACTATCAAAACTCAGACCTGGCTCTCCTCCCAGCAGGAGAGGCAGGACTAAACCCTGTCCCTCTCCGCTGGAAATCAGGAATGTACTCTTCACAGTGCACGGAAGTAAAACAAAGCCTACAGTCTCAGAGAGTTTGGTGACAGATATCAATACTTTTGACAATATGGGACCCAGGTTCAGGTTCATGAAGAGAATAGCACTTGCTGTTTCTCAAGAGGGTGAAGACTATTTTCCCCCTCCCCTGCCCTTCCATTCTTCCCTCAATAGGAGCGATTGCTTGGCCCCCTCCCAACATCACCTGTGGTTAAGTCCATCTGTTCTGAATTACAATCCCTCCTCTAGATTTATGGCTCACTCTCGAGAGCCACTTCAGCAGGAATGATAATGAATTTGAGGACAAGTCTTGGAAAAATACTTTATTGTGGTAATTAAGATTTCCATGAGTAATTGACAAGAGTGACAGAGTGGGAGTGATCAACTGCTTTTTGTTTCCACTAGGAGAGGACTGAGGCAGCAAAATATATTGGTTGTGACTTGTGTTGCGTGACAAAGATAAAAATAGGCCTTTTGGACAGCTAGACATTTGACAGCAGCAATGTTTTCCATTTTGGTCTCTTGCATGGCCTTCAACTTATAAACTCGGATGAAGTAAGACTGAAAATAAATTTTAGAGGAGAATAGACTGCTGCATTACACATGATAAATGAGTGTGGGTGTTTTAAAGTAGTTTCAATGTGGCACACCTTTATTTCAAGACTGTGTGATACTTCAGTCAGTCATAGACAGGTCACAGCAGCGACCGCATTGGAATCAAATAGCAATAAAACCACAAACCCACACATATGCCTGGCTTCTCAATTAGAGAAAGATCCTCTCAAACCCAGGCTGTGACTTCAAGCTCATTCCTACAAATGTTCTCAATCCCAACTCATAAAAATACATTTTTTATAGATGCGGTCAAGTTCTGTTTTTGTCATGGGACACTGAAGAGGATGTGACCCTTCCAGGAATGCTGAAGTAGTTTTGCCAGAGGGAGTCAGGAGAAAGACTTGGACAGTGTTAAACCACTAAGTCAACAATGGACTGCTCTTAAGTTCTGTCTGCATGTCTGGGTGTAGAGATGGCACAAATGTCTTTTGCAGACCTCATTGTTAATATTATTCTTGTCCTGAAATCTTTGCAGCAGATGATTTAGTTAAGGAAATGGCTTTTTTTTGGTGGTTTCAGTTGCTCAGTTGGTCTAGATTTCTTGAAAATATTTGGCTGGACATTAATAAAAGTGGTTCTGAATGAAAAAATAAAGCTCCACAAAACAGCAGACAGTGACTCTAAGTAGACTTCTTCACGAGGGATGAAGATCGGCTGGTACATGGAAAATATGTGATTATCCAAAAATATAGTTATTTTTTACTGTATTTTTGATGTTTACTGATTATGTCTATGTTCTTCTCTCCATTGGTGACCCATAGGTGCTAAACGTAACTCGGACCTACATAGCAAAGCACCAGAGGGATGTAGTCCCATTGATAGAAAAGTATGCAGAGGAGTGGCGGATGACAGGAAACCCCATCTACCGGCCAATGTGGTGGCTCAGTCCAAGCGACCCCATGACTTTCACCATTGATGACCAGTTCCTCATCGGAGACGAGGTGACTTAATGATGTTCTGATGGGAAGGGATTGAGTTCCCTCTGTCAGCATCCGATATACTTGGCATTCGATAGTGTATGAATCAACCCCCCGGCTGTAACCTGATGTCTTGCTAATTAAGTGTACAATCTCCATGACATCTGAGTTTCTTTGACCAAACTGATGTGTATGTGTGGTTGCAGGTCCTGGTGGCACCGGTGGTGGAGAAGGGTGCAGTGCAGAGGGATATTTATTTACCTGACGGCGGCTTTAAGTGGCAGGACAGCCAGAACGCTCAGGTGTTTGATGGGGGCATGTTCCTACAGGATTACCCAGTGCCCTTGGAGGAGGTGGCCGTTTTCTTACGGAGAAGCTGAGTCATGTGACTGATCCATCCAGTCACGTGACTTATCCTGTTACTGTTTTGAATGAAATTATTTTTTTCTTTTTTCTTTTTAAATACTTGTGCTGTTGTCAACTTGCACTTTTCCACTAAAGACCATTGACACTGTCTCAAGGCCCTGTCTTGAGATTATATGTAGAAAGATTTTTTTTTATACTTGCACTTTACAGTTCAAAATGATGTGGGGGGTTTTTTGTGACAATTTTTCTCTTCCTTTTTTAAAATGTTAATCGGTTTTACCTCTTGGCTGATTTGTTTCTGGACTTTTTGATCTGTTCTGCTTTTTTCGTATGTAAGTTCCCGGAGAAATCTGTGTGTTTACATACTGCATTTCTACAGTCTTTACATTTTTTAGTTGCTGCTGGCTCTCTTGATAAGGAGGAACAAAGCAAGCCCCTTGTTTGCTTCAAAATAATCTGAATCTCTCAAGAAGACCAAATGAAGACATAGAACGATGAAGGAAAATGGTTGAAAGGTTTTTTTTTTCTTATTGGGAGGAATTTAGCTCACAGAAAGCTTCGTACTGAGACTGACGCGCCGTGGTACCGTATGTCTTGCTCACTCATCAGAAAGGCTTTTACTTGAACTCAGGCCAACGGGCCAATGTTTTATGAATGTACCTCAGGTTGTGGTTGTTCACTGCTTTACTGAGTCATCAGACACAACAATCTATCGCCCCATAGCACTTATTCTTAGAGTAGTTTAACTTTTTTTATCTTATTTATCAACACCACTCTGTTGGACACGTCTGAATGTCCCTTAGTACTGTAGGCCAGATGAACTTAAGGCCAAGCCACTGTAATTGTAACTCTGGCTATATTTGAATTTAGATTATATGTTACCTTTTTACTAACCTGCTGTAGTAAGGGCTTTTAAATGGGCTGCTGATTTTTGTCTGATGTTGTGTTGATATGCTCTTTCATCTTCATGGGTACCAAATTAAGCCCGAAAGAAAAGCCTTATTGACGACACTGCAGAGGTTGAAATGAGATTTTTAATAGACTGATGGACTGGTGGGAAATTTGCTTTCTTGCAGAGTTAGATGAGAAGACCAATACCACTCTCATATCTATACGGGTAAATATTAAGCTACACCAAACAGCCAGTTGGCTAGCCTGGTCCAAAGGTAACAACATATGACTACCAGCACCTCTAAAGCTCACTAATTAAGGTTATAACTCATTTGTTTAATCTGCATAAAACCAATGTGTAGTTGTTTGTTTGTTGTTGTTTTGTGGGACTATTTCTTGGCTAGAAGCAGTGACTTCCTCCAGTTTCTCCTGGCTGTAGGCTTCCTATTTACCATGCAGATATGAAAGTGGTATCAATGTTCTCATCTAAGTTTCAAAAAGAAAGCAAATATGCCCTAACCAAAATGACAGAATGTTCCTCTTATCGGACGATGTGGGGGAAGGAGCTCTTCAGACCCCAAATAACATAAATACATGTGTAATATGTGTAAGAAATGTCTATTGCAGCCATCTTGGATTTTTCAGAAATTGTTGAAAGCATCACCTGACATTTCACCGACGTGCAGCGGCCACTTGACATAAACCCTGACAAGTAATTACATTTCTGCCCGTGTGTACCCTTCACTTAGCTTCCTCTTTGGGCTGTGCTTGTAATCACATCCACTTCTGTCACTTGCTTTAGTTCAGTAGTATTACTTATGTAGGAGACATTTTATTTTATTTGGTTTTAACCCTGACTCAATGCTTTAAGCATATAATATGTAAATGAGATGACTGATTTTCTTTTGTGATTATATTCAAAACTAGCCCATGGAGAAATTGCACCACGATGCATTGCTCTATGTGTAGATAGTTAGTTTGACAGTGCTCGTTGGCAGTGCTTTTCTGTATTGATTTGTTCTTCACAAGACAATCTTAACTGGCCAGCAGTGATGATACAGACTCTGAAACCTTATCACTTAGCGAATGCTTTACCACTAAATTGATTGTGTAACTTTGATCTATAAAGTTTACTGTATCAACTCGAACACTCAGGTCTACTGAAGCTTATCAAATCACCAAATGTCTTAGTGCAACGCAGTATGTTGTGAACACATTGACGTCTTAATCTCTCCTAGAGCTGAATGTACAATGGACAAACTGTGATTTCCCACCCGAGCCCTTTGTGCGAGGAGGTTTTCTAGCTCCCGTTCTAATGCTTTTATGGAATGCTGTGGTATGTTCACGTATAAGTTGCACGAAAAAGCTTTGATGTGTTATTCCTTCCCTTTACAGACTGAGCGAACCATGTGCCTTAATATGCCACTCTTAAATCTGGACAACACGAGTGTCTGGATTATTGCAGTATCAGCAATGTACATATTACGATGACTGTGCCATTACAAGTATTTTTCTCTTCTGTAAATCAGAGAACTTAGAACGACAAAGTTGCAATAAAGTTTACATTTTCTTACTTCACTTCCTTGAGTAATTTAGTTTTCTTTGGGCGCTTTGTATTCACCCAGTCCTAAAAATATGCCTGTTTGTGTTTGACTGTCCATGCAATGGACTGGCAACCTGTCCTCACCTGCCACCAAAGGATTGTTCACCATAAACAGAAATATGCAAATGTGTAAAATGAATAAATGAATAAAGTTTCTACTTAATCGCAGCATCCATGTCCGTGTCTGCTTGCACATGTGCATGCTCCTGTTTGAGAGTATGTGTGTGTGCGCAAGGCTGTTTTCATTAACACTTCTCGCTCTTCCTTCTCCTCATGTCACAAAGTCTACGGCTATATATCTGTGAGCATGCTGACGACTAACGTCTCCACTAATTCCACTTAAACCTAATAAAGGTTATTTATAGCTCCGGTGAGCATGCGGTGGGAGAGATTCTCAGGGGAATCACATTCAGCTCAACCTCCGCTAAGCTTCTCTTCCTTACCATCCTCTCCTGGTGCCCTTTGGCTGAGCTCCACCTTGGGGCCCCAGACCCTGCTCCTTTAGCGCAGTTAGACAGGTGCAGCTGGCCGCAGACATGCACAGACCCTCCACGCCAACCACCGAACTCGCCCTCTCCGTTTACACCCTCGCCTTAATCACTAAGATTCATATGGCACTTTTAAAAAAAATCTGGGCGCAGTTCTCAGCCAGATAAAATTCACAAGACATTCTAGTGTGGCTCCATGGTTTGTGAGGTGATGAAGTTACAGTGTTAGAGGCTTGAGAGGACTCTGCAGCAGAGGACAGCAGAGGTTAGAGAGCTAGAGTTTTGAATCTTGAGACCAAAACCTAAAGTGACCTTCATCGTTCCATTTCTTTTTTTCAGGTAATAAAAGTTGACGTTTAATTTAATAGTTATTTCCATAATTCAACATAAACATAAACTCCCCCTAATCTGTGTAGAATAACTAGATTACATTATATGTTTGATATTGATCCTTTACTCTGAACAGTGAAACTCCCTCTGTGAGGTCCACTTTAATGTGAAATCACGGCACAATAACACAATTCCTTCCAGAAATTTTGTGGTCAAAGACATCCACCCTTAAACTAACATTTAGCAGCAGGACACAGCGGACCAATTATTTTTTCCTCATTCACTAAATCAACATGTAACATTCAACCCAATTAGGTTGGGGCATAACAGAGCCTTACATAAGTTGCCCAGCAGTGCAGGAAAAACAAATTGTCCTGCCAAAACCCCAAATCAAGAATGACATGAATGATCTACATACAGTAGCTGCAATGAGAACGATGTTATTCTCCACTGTTAACAGCCACCAGTGATTACCACCAGACAAAATGGGAACATCCCTGCTCCTGCATGAATGATTAGCTTATAAAACAGGATAGGCAACATTGGCACCCCTCTTTTCTTTGAGGGTGTTGTGAAGCAAGTGGCACATGAATTAAACTGGTGACAAGCAGAGGCTGCAGATCTTTCCCAAAGTCTACTTTTAGAAAGTGCAAGTCAAGGTTTTAGGTTTCAGCGTCTGCTCTTGAGTGAATGGGTTTTCCAGCTTGCCAATTAGGTGTACAATTTAAAGGCTTGTTGTCCAGAAGCCAGGCTGTTGAAGCCTGTTGATTATACTGTATGGATTGGTCGCAGTTTGCCTGCACGCATTGGGTTTTGTCTTAATGCATGGAAAGCCAGGACACACTTCATGATTTTGATAAAGACCTAAAATTAAAGATAAACAAAGCTCTAGCTTTGAAAGTGATCCTTCCTCCCAACTGGCCAAATTGCAGGTTCCCAGAGTAGATGAAGAGTAAGCACACCTCAGGAATGTAGTCCTGAAATTTTAGCCTGCTATCGGAAGCCCAGAGAAGGGTGACATCAGAGCGGGTGTACCATTGGGGTCTGTGCACAAGTAGTGGACAACAGCTAGAGGGAAACCTTCACATGTAATCACTTCCTGCCTATTTCCTCCTTGGGAATCTGTCACCTGATGATGCCTTTAAAGATCTTCTGTTTAATTCAAGTAAATGGGTGAAAAGGCCTATGGCCCGAGCAGCCCCAGTGGAGGGGCTTATTAATACTCTCAGAGACGGAACTGGCTCCTGGGTGCCGTCCACTTGAGCCCGACCACCTGGCTTGATGCAAGGCTACGGCTTCCTTTGATTAAGTAAACACTGAGCTAAGGAAGGAAAGATCTCACACCAGTCCACCTCTCTTTTCACACCAGACCAGTTTCCAGAGGTTTACAAATTGTCAGAGCTAAGAAAAACTAATAAACAGAGCCATAACCAC